AAAGTGAAGAGTACACCACAGCCGTAACTAGTGACTTATGGATCAATCGGGACGACTGTTAGGTCTTAAGATCATTGTGGCGAGAATCAATAAGAGTCGCATTGAGAAACTACTGACATTAAACCCATCTGCAGTAAGGGTCATGACAGGGCACTGTGATATACCACCAATGCTCCAACGATCGCGTATACCAACAAGCTCCCTCTGCAGAAATTGTCGGGATGAGGATGAAGAGGAATCGATTCACCACTTCTTATGTAAATGTCCAGCTCTCCAGGTAAGACGTCTCAAGCATTTGGGATCACGCTCTTTCAATAGCTTGGGGGAGATAGCGGAGGTGAAAATATCGAACATCCACGGCTTCATACGACATAGTAAGTGGTTTGACAGACTTTATACTGACAGTATGGTTTAACCTTGGCTGGAAGGATGTGTCTCCTTCTGGCACCCACAGAGGGCATTCACAACGGGCAAATATGCATCCGAGTTGAAGTAAGAGTCATTCGTACGCGCCTTCTTAACTTAGCCTTACCCCTCGGAAGAAAGAGAAGAAACTGCTAAAATCAGGGCCGGGATTCTGTGGCATAATCTATTCGCTTAGCTCCAGAGATTTTTATGTAGATATTCAAATATTTTGTAGAAATTCATTCAAGGTTTGCTTTTTCCTTTAACTATTGTATTATTTTATATTGTATTGCTGTATTGTTCCATATGGCCTTTTTGCGATTTTTCAATTTTACTTTTGTCCTCTTTCAAACTTTAGTGCAATGAAGCCTGGGTCCTGGTAATGATGGCCCATGGCGAAAATAAGTTTTCTCTCAGTGACAAACTGTATTCAACGGTGTCAGGTGACCAACAATATCTAAAATTTTCAATTTTTTTAACTACCCACCATGCAAAACATGAGAAATAGGCAACAATCGTCAATGGCAACAAATTGGCGACTCACCGATTTATTGCTGTGGTGACAAATCGGCAACACCACTTCGTTCATGTCAATTTTGAATAAAAAAGTTCTCAAAAATTCGGAAACTTATGAATATGGCGTCAATAGCATTGGCCAAAAGCATCTAAATTATGCCCAAGGACAAGATTGAAAAAATAGGAAGTCTCACAGCGAGAAAATGAATTAATTCCGATTGTAAGTTGCAATTTGGTATACAAAAAAATAAATGAAGTATTAAGAAGAATAAAATTATTCCAAATATCGCCTGAAGCGATAAGAAAAGGACTCATTCAGGTAATAAGAAAACGACTCACCCAGGCGAGTTGCCTTCGGCGGACGTTTTAGAGCGACCGGTAATAGGAAATCGATTCGATGGCAATATTACCGGCAATAAATTTGTTTCCGAGGGCGACACGTTTTCTTATTGCCGGCAACACAAATTGTTTGGTGGGTAACGTACATGTGTTTGGCTATAATATACGTACATATGAATCTATGTACATATGTACAGTAGCGAAAATATATGTAAATAGCCAAAAGCCATGTATGTACATATGTATATTATATGTATGTATAGAGAAAACATTTGTACATTCAATAGACTCATGTGGTGTGTAACCGAAACCCTACTTGCAAATGGCAATGACCACGTAAACGTTTTGGACCAAGCAAACGTTTTGAACCAGACCAAAAAACCAAAGGCCAAAACGAGGGAATGAGGCGAGTGAAAATACTAAATTGATGGCATGTGAATAGATTTACATACAGACACAAACTTTACATGCACCTAAAACTGATGAGTTATTGATGGATGCCACAACGCTGCATACGTACATATGTTTGTATGTACTAATGTAAGATACCAGAAACGATGTGGACATTATCAGGCATGCCGCTGGTATGCTGTTTCATGTCGGAATGAAGATGGTGGCATTAATAATAATGTTGCGACTAATGTGACTACCAACTCCAGCTCATGTGTATACAATAGAGGCGCATAGTACATATGCGTGTGAGTGTGTCATTCATTTTGATTTGATTGCAAATGCATGTGTGTATGTACCATACATATGTTTTTCAACGCTTTTATTGTTTGACAGTGCAAATGTTGATGTTGTCGCTCTTAACGTAAGTGCCATTCAATGTCCAGCAGCTGCATGCCCCAGAGCAATTGTATAAATACATGTATGCTTATGTGAATACGTACATACAGTATGTATGTATGTACACTAGACTGTCCCAAAAATATATGGAAAAAAAATTGTTTGCAAATATGCCACTATATTTGTGTTTTTTAGCCTAACATATACATATGTATGTATATGAAGTTTTTATTGCCGTAAGATAACAATAGTCTGTGCCGACTTTTAGTTGAAGTTTTAGTTAATAACTTGGATCAGGGCTACCAAATCAGCCATTAAAACTTTGGAAGTGCGAAAAATGCTATATGTTTCCTATATATTGAACGCATTTCTAGTAACTCTGCATCATTAAATTTTTAATACGGCAAGATTTCTCCTAAGAATATCGAAAAAATTAATTAAAGGACAAAGTCCAGCGGCTTTGTAAAGGTGTATTATAAGGTTGCAAAACTATATGTTTTCTAGTCGAATAATTTGTGCATGTCGGGAAAAATTGCAATTGTAGAAAATATAAAATATAAATTTTAATTGGTCTGACAGGGCGTATAATGAAAATTGAATTATCAAATTCTACTTTTATAACAAATTCATTTCCTCTTTTGAAAAAAAAAAAATCTTTTATAATATTAAATCAGAAAAATAAAGTGTTTTAGTGTTTAATATGTCCCCTCGTGTTGATTAAGGAACAAATATGGAGGTATTAATTAAAAAAGTTTTAAAAAGTTACATTTGCAATTTTTATCCTTTAGTATCGAAGGATTTAAATTGAACTAATATTCTTCAAAATGTATTCAAAATTAAAAATCTAGAAGGATAATTGAAAAAAAAGTTATAATTAAGCTTTCTTCGAATTTTTATTTCAATTGATACCCATATATCAATATTTTGTGTAAACTTTTGGAAATATATTATAATTTATGGTCCTTTGGAAAAAATCCTAACAACATGGTAAAAAAAAACCAAAAACGCAGATTTACTAAGTATTATGTCCAAATACTGTAGGCGCTATACTAATGACGGCTTAGACAGAAGTAAAATTGGTAAATTAACAAAACACGCGAACTGCACAAAGGTTATTCTGATAACTTTCCACTGCAAGTTGGCACGGGTATCCGTGGTCCGAATTGCATAAAATTTTATTCTGATAGTTTTAGAGATAAAACCAATCAAATCAGGAGGTGTGCGTTAAAAAAACCACTCTGGTTTTTTCGGGACAGTCTAATGTACATACATACATATACCCTGCAGTGAAAAGCTAAACCAGTAGGCACAAATTCCAGTTCATGAACTATTATTTAAGGATAAAAGTCATACCAGTTCGTTATGAACCATAATTATACCAGTTCCGCGCAGAAAAAAGTAAACTAGTTGGTAGAAATTCTAGTTCGGAAACTGGTATTAAATGGAAGAGTCATACCAGTTCGTCATGGACTATAATTATACCAGTTCTCTGCAGTGAAATGCCACACCAGCCAGTATAAATACTAGTTCATTAACCAGTATGTGATAAAGCGACGGCCTACCATTTCGGCGATTTCGAACAACTTATGCGATCAGCGACATCTGTCTTTGAATAGGCATAACCAAAATTAAAACGTGGTTAATTGCTTTCATCACAAATGTTGGCTGTGGCGTCGAGTGAAGACTACCGATTCTGGTTCTGAGATCTCAGGTTCGAGTACGCGTGGAGGTTGGTAAAGTAAAGTAAGTAAATTAATTTAAATAATTATTTCAATTTAAATATAAAATAAAAATTGTACATAAATTTAATTTGATTTGGAAAAAACCTAAATACTCAAATACCATAAAAAATGAAAATAAATAATTTTTTGTTCTTGTAAAACAATAAATTTAAAAATTACACAAGAGATATAAATAAAAAAATAAACAAAAATAAAAAAAGATTCGCTCACTGAGATTCGAACTCGGATCTCTTGATTTGGCGTGCCAAAGCTTTACTCTGTCGACCATTGCCACTGTTGCAGCGCCGCGAGCAAAATGACATACTTATGCTTTTCACGGGGATGAATATGCAGTCTATCCCGTCAACTGGTATGATGCTAGTAGTATTTCTACTGGTAGCGTGCTGATGCAAGAGCGGACAATTGACATCTCCTATCCTACAACGTGAACTAGTTCGGCTGAAACGCAAACTGGTAGCATTCTGGTTCACAACTGGTAGCTTTCCCTGCAGGGTATTTCTATGCTTGAATACTTGTACATACATATATATGTACAAGTGCGATAGAGAATGGCGACACAAACGGCAGCATAAAAGGTGTGCCCTGCAGTAAAAAAAATAAAAAATTAAAATAGTTTTTAATAATGAGTAATTTTGTAGCAGTTCAGCGAAACTGGTTCAGACGAGTTGGTTGCCAAAAGGGCTTAAAAAGGAAGTGATACAAAAAAATACTATGCCTGTGTATAAAATGGGTATTGTCAGCAGTTCTCTGAGCTGCGCTGGCTTTTATGATAGCTACTGGCTTACTTGAAAAACTAAGTTTAATACAAAATTACTCTTAAAGTAAAAATGTCTAAGCTTTTTAAATTATTGATTTAATGCAGGTTATGTCTGGAAAAAAATTTTGTGGGAATACATATCGCACTAACAACACATCTACAGCATAAGTGATACATAAACATATCGGTTGTGAGTTTGCCTTTGTGCAAAGAAAGTTTATTTTTGTTATATTTAATGCTGAACACCTTCGTCAACTGTCGGTTTGTCCATTAAACAAACATTTAGTATTTTATAAAAGCATATATGTATGTATGTGCATACATATTTGTATTAGAGCAGTAATATTTCTAAAAATCGCCCGAGAATATTATTTTTGCAATATTCGGTTAGTATATTAAGCTGGTTAGAACTTTCATAATGAAGTGGAAAATTTGCTATTTGTTTGACTTACCAGAGGGTGTTTAATGATGGTGTTTTCTGTAAGAAAAAGAAAATATGTACATAAATTAGATTGATTTTTTTTAACAAAAATGAGATAAGGTAAAAATATTGATGATTTTAACTGTTACTTTAAATTTAATACAGAATCATTTGCAATTGAATTGACGGGCATTAGGTAGGAGGGGTACGTGAAAATGTTGGTTAATCTTTTTCCAGTCGAAGCCATGGTTTGTATACAGGTATGCATTAAATAATGTTGTTAAATACTTATCATAAATATTCAATAATGCCAGACACTTTCTGTTGTTAAATACAATGATTCGTATTTTTTTTTTTTAGGAACTATGGCAAGAAGTTATAGCCGTCATCGATTCGCCACTTCGTTGCTTGCTATGTTTGAGTTCCGGTCGCTTAACGAAAAATATTGCATGTGAAAGCAACAATAAAGTTAGCTAGCACGGATAGACGATAGCGAGTTTGGTTGTACCTCATTGTGTTCGTTCGTTTCGCCACTCGCTAACTGTTGGCGAATCGATGACGGCTTATATTACTCATACGCCATGTAACCTGGCTTATAATGAAACTTTAAAGCGTCTGGCTGAATTTACTGCCAACGGAAAATGAAATTGATTTTGAACAATTTTTTGTAAAACCTATGAAAGTTTTCTTTTTGATGCAGCATATCTAGATGCATTTCTGCATTAAAGAAAATAAAAAAATTTGAAAAATATCGCTTACACCTTTTTGGCGGCTAGGACTCGATAGATCAAAACCAGCGCTTCGACTGTAAAAGTGCACACCCACAGGACAACCCAGACGCGTTCACATCATGTATAGATCCTGGATTATTACACTGTGCGACATATTTACCAAATCCCAAAAGGATTTCGGTTAGTTAGCTCGCTTTGAAAAGATATTGGCATTCAAAATTTCTCTCTCGCAGCGCATTTAAAAAATATTAAATTCTCATTACTATACGAAATCAGAAACAAAGATTTTATTACAATTTTAAAAGTCTAAAATTTTTAGAGAGTTGCCACCAGTTTGTAAGTTACAGTTTAAGTAAATTGACACGATAAAATAAATATTGCAATGTGGGTGTGAAAATAACGGAATTTAAGAAGGCTTACAGCCAAAAATATATTTGACACCTTTTTAAAAAACTCTATTTAAAGAGGTTTAAGAAGGCTAAAGAAAGTATTTTTGAGGTGGGTTTCCACCTGTTTGAAAAATATAATTTAATTTAATTGATAAGATAAAAGTTATGCGATAACATACATAAAAAAAATATTCCGACGAATTGATAACCTTCTCCTATTTTGAAGTTAGTTAAAAATTAAAAATGCTGAAGTTAAATTAAACATTGCAAGATTAGTACCAAATGAAAAATGTTTGAGAAAGCTTTGCTGGACAATATTTTTTAAAGATTGCCACTTATACAAAAAGCGAACATTAAAAAAAATAAATAAATACCCAATAAACATTTGGATTGGCGATAAAATACAAATTCCAAGATCCAATGTTGATTTTAAAGAGTACCTCAATTGGAGAACCAACCCACCTACCCATTCTCTAATAAAAGAGCACATTTTTTGTATGCAAAATAATCTGAGTTCTCCACTTGAGAAAAGCTTGGGTATCACTTTGAATTCAAACTTTATTAAACTTTTAGTCAAACCTTGGGGAAAATGTTGGAGAAAAATAATGTATATCAGCTTGGGAATCAAGAATTGCTCAAAGATTGGAAAAAAGTTGGAACAATGTTTGCTTGGTGTATATTGGGTAGGAATTTGGGTGTTAGCTAGTATGGTTTTAGATGTAGGCGAAATATAGACTTTTTTCTGGAAATTCAATTTACAAACTTATAACTCAAGTTTATGTATTAATTCAATATTTGACGTTTTTATTACTGTGCGCAAAAAATATTCATTAAGATCAGTATGAACGGGACTAAAGTGAGAACTAAAGGTTCGAGAACAATTCATTAAAAAGTTCCCGAGACTTTCTCAAAAAAGAACAAAATGCGATCAAAACTCGCCAGGACACTCTCAAGAAGAACAAAATGAGAACGAAAGAATCGAGAACGTTTTCAGGGAGGATCAAATAAGAACAAAAGTCTGAAGAACGTTCTGCTGGAGAACAAAACGGGAGCAAATGTTTTGAGATCTTAAGTTTAAGAATGAGAGCGGCGTCTGCGTATTGAGATGAAAAATCATTTAGGTTAGAATCATAATTGTTAATTCTAAGCCAGAGAAAAGCTGAATCATTTCACCTTCCAGAGATTTAGATCATTTATCATTAGGGTAAACTGTCCATTTAAGGAAACAATCTTCACTTTCTGTGCAAGAAAAGTTCTAGTTTTAATTCTTTCGTTGACCTAATTTGCATAATTGTTTTTCAGTTACTTTTTTATTAATTTTAGTATTCTAATATTTCCAACTAATGCAACGCTGTGGAAAAAAATTTTTTCTTGCTTTTCAAACCCTCTTAAAGTTTTTTACCCTAGTCCAGTACTATCGACCTGTGCTGGTCGCTTGCTCGTGGGATTTCATAACTCTAAAATTATTGCTCCACAGTGTTACTGAAGGTGTACATTACTGCAATATCTATATCGAGATATACCATCACAAGAGAAAGATTGGGTACCACCGCAACCGTAGGAAATCCCAGAGATACTTTAAGAGTTTAACCTACGTGAAAGTGGAGAGTGATCAATATGGAGCAAATAGATCGAAAAGCAATGCAGAAAGCTTAGAAATCATCCAGTTCTATTGCCAGAAACTCGCAGAAAATTCCACCAAACCCGCGGCCGGAAGATTTTGTCCAATTCAAATCTTCGAAAAAATGTCTAAAGTGCGGCAGTGTAAACCCTATTAAATCAATTTTAATTTATCTTTTTTTTATTCAACCAACCAACGACGACTTCACATACGCTTTATGCAAAACATATGCAAATTGGACGCGCGCGCATGCGCCCATCTACATTCATACATATGCATGTATTTTAAGAGACGTATGTACATATGTGATATGTAGGCGTTGGCGGTCACAGCGGCGGCAGCCACTTCCCACGCCTTTCGTATAATCATTATTCTGTCGACTGATCAATAGAAGGGAAAAAAACTTAACATAAAACTGAGTGGAAAAATTTTAAATAAAATAGTAAATAAATATAAGTGCATAAATTAGCAAAATGTTAACAGAGCACAAAAAAAATAATAAAAATAATTAATGTCACAAAAACCAACAATAAAAATGCATGTGTGCGGCAACAATCAATGATTAGTAAATTAAGTTAAATTTCTTGTCAATTAGTTATGCGGCTGAATAAAAAAAACGCTGGTTTCATCTGTTATTGTTGTTTTTTTTGTTGTTATGGCTGCTACCATTGGCTTTGACTGGGCGCTGACTTAGTCGCCGCCGCCAACGCGCGCACCCTCAAGAGCAATATCGAGTTTCACTTAAGCGGCGAAGCGAAGCCAAACTAATCAACAGCACCCACACACGCAACACACACAAGCATACAAATAAACTGACAAATAAGTACACAAACATTAGATGTATTCACAGATTGTACGGATTGCATGGTAAAAACCGATTTTCGAATCGGACAGCTTTGCAAACCGTGCAAGCGCTTTGCAACACTCAGAGAATACCCCTATTGTATTACAATCTAGCAGCGCCAATGTTGCAATATCATTTACAATTAAAAGTAAAAATGTTGTAATTTTTATAGTTTTACGAGTTAACTTCATTTTCCGAAGTTTTTTACGAGTGTGCATGCATTTGTTTTCGGCAAGTTTCCATTGCAAATAAAATGTTTCCGCACCTTAAAGCGCGCGCGCGCGACTTTGCGACGACTCCTCCGCAGACAGCAGACAGCAGCCATCACGCCAGCGGCAACAGCGGCGGCGGTGCGACTTGGAAGTGCACAGTGTTGCAACATTGCCGTTATTGTTGCTGTTTGCTGATTTTTATTAATTTCTTATGTTGTTATTTTTTTTCTGCACTTTTTAGCAAAGAGAATTACTTGTCCGCTCAAGGGGCAACTGCCGCAGTGCCCATGAGCCAAATTTAAGGCTGAAAATTAAAAAATTTTTCTGCAGATTTTATTTATTTTTTTTCATTGTTGTTCGATTTTTAATTTAAGCGCGGCGTGAAGGCGTTAAACTTGCGCTTTGATGCCAAGGCAGAATTTTTGAAATCATTCAATTTAATTTACAAATGCCCGGACGAATGTGAGTAATGAGTTTTAGAAACTTATGAGGCAAAAAAAAAAACGCGTTTGGAATGGGCGTTGAAATTGCTTGAGCGGTTGGCGAATAGTAAAAGAAAAAATTTTAAAAATTCTTTGCATAATTTATGGCGACAATTGAGTGTTGACAGTTAAGTTTTTGCGCTATTAAATTTGAGAAAGATTAATTTTTAATATGATGTATAATTTTATTCTCGCTATTCCCAATAACATCTATCTATTTGGGCACCCGGCCACAATGGAATAGAAAGAAATGATATAAGGGACAGACTAGCCAGGAAAGCCACTACCTCAACCCCAATCGGACCTGTGCCCTATCGGAGAATATGTTCGAATATGTTCGAATACGATCGAAGAAGACCTCAGACATGGAGATAAAAGCAATGAGAAAACAGCACTGACGGCGTTCACGAGCACTACGCCAGGGCAAATGCTTACTTTGGAGATTCAGTTTAAAGATATTCTACCTTCTAATTAAATTTTGTAGGAAAATGTAAGAGTAGGCTCACTGGCACAAACTGTGTATCGTCGTCTAAAGTATAAAACCGCCTATCAAGTTATTGCAAAACCGCGTATGTGAGACTGCCGAAATGTTACGGTGGAAAGTAAAAACTGTCCAATTTCAAAACGGTTCTCTTTTTCATACGGCAATCCCATTTCAAGGTGATGTTATGCACCGATATTTTGGTACTTGATGCCAGGAGCTTTCGGTGAGCAAATCTCATTTTTAGTACAAATGTCAGTTAAGCGGGTGTGTGCTTTAAACGGCGATATGTATTTA